AAATTGAACATCAAACTGTTCTGTTTAAATGCTTGCTGTGGCGTAATGTTACATTAAAAAACAAACGAACTACTATTAAACTAAAATTAATCCTTATCAGTTGTATTTGGACTGTTTAAGTTATTATGAAAGTACTTTATACCATTCAGTCTGTATATTATCTCATAAGTTATTTCTGGTAGGTTTTATGCATCAGACAGCATGAGTATCTTGAAATTTTATGGAAAATTTCAGTAATATGAAATATATTATTTCATAAATTCTTTAAATTTGTGTTTTCAACACAAACAGGCTCTAACAGTAGGGATTTCTCATTAGAACTCGGGAAGCATGCTGAAACGTTTATCGTTAGTGAGTACCAGATTGCCGATGAACTGGATAATTTAGTGAGATGAGATTAAAAATCAGATAACATTTATTGTACCCTAAATTCAGTTAGAGAATAATCAAAAATCAGAAAAGACTATGTACCATCCTTGAACTCATTTTCGAAACATTAATTGTGTATGACCGTAGTTCAACTAAGAATTTAACTGATAACCTTTGAATTTGGACAGATTAACTTTAATAAAAACTGAGGACTCCTTGAATGAACAATTATTAGAACATGTAAGCTGTCGCAACAAAGATGTTAGGCTCTATTTTATTTTCAATGATTTTTCAGGCAAAACCAGTTTCTAAATAAAAATGTTATTATTATCAAGAGTAAACATCAGGTAAACAGCACCAGTTTAAACCTAACCAAAACACCTGTTTAACATAGCAGATGAGATGTTTAATACATATTTTAAGAAACCTATTCGATAAAAGACAATGATATCATGCTTCGTAGTTACCATACTATATATATTTAATATATATCAATACAGAAAGGTTTTTATGTATAACAGACAAGTTGTTCTTTCTAGACTGGACATTACGTCTGACGGGAGGTACTAAATGAATAGTGTCACGTCATATAAACAAATATTTCTGAAACACAATTTCACTAACTTTCATTGCATTTAATTAATAATTTCTATGCCATTTAACATAAAAGTCAAAATCCATTCATTTGCATAGTAGTACAAGTTTTATGGTTGCCGAAAAAAGGAGTGGAATACAAAACTGTCACCACTCCCTAAGTAAGTATGTAGAAAAAAAATAAAAGTACAAAAGGGACAAAATCAATTGTTTTTTAAACGAAAAACAAACGAAAGCAGAGTCATTTAAAACAATAGATTATCTAAGATTATTTAACTGTCCATTTCGCAGTGGTTAATTGTCATGGTAATTTTACATTAAGTAGTTAGGTTATTATAAGATAGTTGTAATGCATTATTTTGTTCCTAATTTTTTAAACAACAATTTGACCCTTTCTTTCTGAATTCGTCTTTTACTGATTTAGTCTTGTAATACAAATTTGAAGATATTTTTTAATGTGAGGTAACATACAGAAAGTATTCATTTTTTTGATGGAGTTTTGTTCTCTGAGCACGACTAAACCATCCAGCTCAGAGAACAAAACTCCATCCAAATCATCCACCTGAGCTACAAATCTTCTACACCATCTCAAGGTATTCATTGACTATCGTATGAATTATACAAAATTAATTTATAATGAGCATATATATAGGATTACATCAGCAAGTGAAAATATTGGACCGTATTTTATTAGGGAAATTATTTTTCTATCTATTTATTAGCTTACTTCACTATTAGATAAGATGTATTGCCTTCAACTAAACTCCCATAATTAAGTAATACACTTACATTTCAGACAAAGTTACAATAATACTCACTAAAAACTTTATTACTGATCGGACTAAATATTTATTTTCAATAATACCGTGCAATATTGTTGTTGAAGAGGTCGAATATTTGTATGATTTAATAAGGAATCTTATGTTAATATGCTGGCTCAGTGGTTTAGTGGTTAAGTGCTCGCGCGCAAGACAAGTAGGTCCTGGGTCCGAATTCCGTGGAGTGCGGTCGTGGGTGCCCACTGTTGGGGGGTCCCACAATAGGACGAAACGGGCGCCGAGTGTTTCCAGGTTTTCCATCGTGGTCTAGCTTCAAACGACTCATGATCTCAATTATTGAAATTATGCTAATGTTTAATGACTGTGGCGAACATTGTAGTAACAAACAGTTAATCAATAGTTCCAAAAACGCTTGCAATAATTTCATTGATATAAGTGATAATATGATCAAAACTGTGGTTTTAGGTTGTTAACTAACAAGAAAAACAATAACAGGTGAAAAACATGTGACATTAATACAATATATACACCTCTATGATGAATCATAAATGTTTGAATTATAGATTATCATTAAACATTTATTTCCCTTGAAGAATATCGTTATTTTTGGCTTTTTAGCAGGTGATTCGAACAAGTTTTGGATAACCATACAAAATTAACATGGTTAGATGATTGTTACATCGAAGTTTACCTGGTTGATGGAATTTATAATTAATAGAAAAAAAATCTGAAGTAAAATACAAAACTAATCAATAATGAATTTTTTGATGGGGTTTTGTTCTCTGTACTGGATGGTTTGGTCGTGAACAGCTCACAGCAAAAAAAATCCATCAAAATAATCCACCTGAGCTACAAATCTTTTCCACCATCTCAATGAATTTTTTTTATTTTTCGATTAAACGTTTTATTTATTTCCTTGATGCTTTGAAGCTGTATGATTAAAGGTTATAGTCCGTAGTAATTGGATAATCTACTTAATGATTTGTTACTTCGCATAAAATTAAGTTATAACTTCAGTTTGTCACAAAAAGGTTGTTATTAAGTAAAATATAGCACTATGAGAGATAAAAATAATTTATAGTCTACGATTGCTTAATGAATTTTTGGTAGGAACTGGATTTAGTTTAGTGAGAAGACCCATTCTGGCTTCTTCCTCATCGAAGAAGCCAGTTTATTGTTATTATTACACTACAATACAATAATCTATGGTCGTTATTGTCCTTTCTTTTTCTCTTCCTATTCTTATCGTTTTGTGTGACGCATATATATCTGGTGCCCCCTTATACCAATATTTATGTGTTCAAAAAAATAAATAAATAACCGGCTTCTAAGAAGAAAGGTTATTTGATGTTCTTTTCATATAATTATTAGGCTTTCACAATTAGTGAAAAACGAATAATAATGATAATAGTACTTGAATGAGATGACTGAAAGTATGATCGATTACTTTTATTAGTCAACCGAATCAAAAGGTAAATGTGCACTCATTCATATACATAAATTCATATATATATGAGCTCCATTTTTCTATTGGTTGAGTGTCTTTTTCTTTAGAAAAGAAAGTCGAATCTAGGACACTCACGAGCTAGCATCATTTGGCCAATGCTTGATTGAACCGCCCTAGTACTTCCATTGGATATTTCAGTTTACATATATGTAAGAACATCTTTAGTATAGAGTAGATAGGAATTATAATAAAAGGTACTTAAACATCCACTTGGGTGTTTGTGAAAACAGACAAACAAAATACAAAGACCATTGAAATTAAATTAGAATCATTTAAAGATTTTAATACATTACCTAATCAAAATCTAAATAGTGAAAAAATTTAAAGCTAAAACATATTTGAACTGACATTAAATATACAATGGTACAGTGGATAGTAACTTTAACAACATGATGTCGGTATGGCTGGTTCTTTCATATTGCTTTTCTTGTCCTTATATTTTCATCAATTAAGCATATTTTTATTACATAACTATCTTAATTTATGATTCAAATGTTTGTATTCCGATTCAGTTAATAAAACACATTGTAATGAGGAACTTGACTTTCTCAGCATACTATATAAATATGTCAGAGAACAGAAGAAATTACACACAACACCTCTGTTAATTAGCTCAACAATCTTGTAGTTACATTTGACAATTATCTTTCAATTCGAATGAGAATGAACAACGTTGACTTTCAGTAATCTGATCAAAAATTTAAGCTTGCATAATTCGAAAATTAAATACTCAGGGTCTTTAGAAACTGATTACAATTGTGTTAAGTATCTAAGGATATTTTCTTTTCTGAATCTTTATCTGGTTTTAACGTCTGGCTTAATGTGTTAAAAGGTAGTTTAATAAATATTTATTAAGTTTTTGATTGAGATCATAAATCAATCGATGTTAGACCAACATTGAAAACTTGGAAGCATTTGACAACTATCCCGTCTAAGTATGGGACTTCTCAGCAGTGCATATACACGATCCTGTACACGGGATTAGAACACAGAAACTTCGGTCTCGCACGCGAACGCTTAGCCTTTAGACCACCGAGCCGGTACCCAGCGATGGCAATGTCTAACTTCAACAAATCCATTAAATCTCGCGACCCTGTTCCATTGTCTGAGGCAGATACCTGTCTCTACCTGATAGGTTTAGCATTTAGGGATAGTATCGTTTTCCATGTTATGCGACATAATGTATGGTTCAATACATTTTACATTATCAGTTTTACTCCGTTAAAGAAGACTTAATTACTAGATATTGCTTAAAGTATTCTGACTAGTATACATAGGTATTTCTATTGCTCATATGTGATATTTGAATTTCAAGGAAATACCTAGAATTTATGTTCACAATTTTGACTAACTCTTTTACATACTATATCTATATCTTTTTTTGAAATGAGAAGGGTTTTTACTGTTTGTTTAATTTCTGATAGTGGCTTGTAAAACAATATGCACTAAGTGAAACTAGATTTATCCAATGAAATGTTGATCTAAACCAAACTAATATTAAAATGTTTAACCAATCAGGATAGTCGTACATTTGACCAATCATGATTTAAAAGTTATGTTATATAATATGCTTCAGCTATTTCAAGATCATAATATGAAATGGTTTAGTTTACTCTTATCTTCTTATTATTCCCATATACACATACTCCTCATTTGAGTCTATATAATTCAGATAAAAAATGAATTGGGAGTATGACAGTAACAAATTCAAGTTATTGTCTTAATATTTAACATCTTTTATAACTATAGAAATGTTTAGTTTAATAATGTATCGAATATTATTCATTTTTTTCGATATACTATCATTCAACAATTATAGTACAAATGGATTTATATTACATTTACCACTGAGCATCTCTAATTTATCAACATCACAATTAACCAATCAATCATTATATACAGAGGATCTTACAATCAATAATACGAATGTTTTCAATGAAAGCATTCTTGAAAAAACTTATCAGAATCAAACAGAAGAAATAGAAGAGGAATTATTTGTCAAAGGTAGTGCTGGTGTATGGGTTATTAGTGTAATGAGTGGGACATGTATATTAACAATTGCATTTATTGTTAGAGGTTTATTCTCACGAGCTGAAGCATTCCATGATGGTACAGAAAATCACCATGGTACAGATATTAATGGTGGTTTCATTGGAGGTAATGGATTCGCTAGTGGTGGAGCAGATATGGGTTTTTTAACAACAAATATGGTATGAAATGTATTCTACATAAAATAACTTCATTCATGATGTTTTTAAATGATTTCTGTGATATAGTAATTAGAACCGGTTTAATTGGTAGTATATATCACAGTATCGTGAAAAGGATAGAAAAATATGAGTATATATTCCAATATGTAAAGAGTGATTTAAAGAAGCGGTAAACCATTCCGAGATTCACTGTTCCAATGATTAACAAGAATACAAATCTTAACATATTTTGTAATGTTTACAAGTACCATACAGTTTAAAGGTCAAGTAAATTCAGAAGAATTATATACGTGAAATTCTATGCCACTGTATATATTCTAAAGGATAAAAAAAACTATTGTTAACATCTGTAACTACTTCTTATTTAATCTACGTTCTTCCTAAATTATTCTAAATAAAATTATATTTTCTGAATACAAATAAATGTGGTGAACAAATATACCTTTTCGGTACATTCTTATTTCTTGTGTTATGAATTCACATGAAAGAAAAATTAAACTAATTAGGTAAGTGATTTTAAAGAGAGAGAGAGAGCGAAAGAAAGAAAGAAAGAAAATTTAATTTTTCTAGATACCTTCTTGTTAATTACCTGATTTGTTTCAATTTATGAAGAAGAAGAAGAAGAAGAAGAAGAAGAAGAAGAAGGAAAAAACAGAACCTATAAACACATAGAATGAAGCCCATAAATAAGAATAAATATTTTAATACGGCTTATATTTAAAGTCATTTATAGGAAATTATACGTTTGGTGCCAATGGATAAATCTGAAAACAATTATAAATCAATATCATTTTAATAATATTTATTCTCGTTTGTATAAATTGAATTCTTTATAGGATATCCATGAAAATATCCCTTATCTGTGCTGTGATTCACTAGTTTTATTATCTATACATATCTTACTGATCCTTAGCTTAAAATGACAATGATTTGCTATAATTTTTAATACAGTGATTTATTTTGATGTGATAATTGGTAGCCACTTGAAAATGTAGCTTTTAAGTTAATTGGCTAAAACAGTATGTTGCTTTTGAAACAGATTTACGTGCACGGACTCTATGTATCTTTTTTAATACACATATTCTCATTGTTATTATTTCAGTTGTTTATGACATTCATACATTGATTATGCCATCGAATAACTCTAATATATACTTACCTATCGAGTGTAGAATCTAGAGTATATCGTAAACTTGTGACAAATCCCAGATAAATATAATTTAACGTCTTACATTTTCAATCAGAAATACATCTGATTTAAGAAGGTTATCTCTCTTATATAGTATAAATACGGAAAGACTGAATGCTTGCGTAAAATCATAAAGAAAAAAAGACTTAAAAGAAGATTTTTACCCATGTCTATTTTCTTTTTGATTTCTTTATTTGATTTCATCGACATATTTTAAATAGTTCAACTGGTTGTGAAACAGATGGTAGCATTCCAATAAACGTATATGTATGTACATAAATTTTCAAGGATGCAAATAAGCTTCACCATTTTGCATAGTTTTCTGTCTATGTTTTAGTAGATACAATTTACTAAATGAAGTATTCAAATGCGATAGTTATGTGAATATATCTGATATTCTTAATGAAATTTTACATAATAATAAGTCCAAACATTATGTTAATAATACGTTAAGCTAAGTGGTTGGAGTGGAACTACCAGAAGTCATTCATATAGATTCCGAGTCATTTGGTCTTTATCACTAAAGTGTAATGACAATGTAGGTGCAAGGCTTCCCACTAAAAGCTTCCAACCATTTAAGATTAAATAAAATGCACTATATTGCGAAATCTGTTAGAATGATCTCCACAGCTTGATTCAATAAAGAAAATTAGATCAACACGAACGATTGGACAACAAAACATTGGTTGTTTCTAAGTGGCTGATGAGAGTGATCGCCGTATTTCACTAAGTAAAAAAACATGATATTGTGCTTAGAGGGTTAGTCTAATCTGAATATAATCATTACGATGGGTTCAAACTAAAACAAAATTGATATCTGATAGATTGCAATGATCATCTATTTTTGTCCTTGCAAATGTATAATATGTGATCATATTTAAATAGATGAAATAGAGTTTTAATAACTTAATTACATAAAATTAACCACTTAATTGTAAAGTGAATATTTATGGCGAGACTCTAATGCATGAACGACCTTTGAACGAATCTTAAGTGACCTTGAGAAACAGTGACCAATTAGCAAACAGTCAGTATAGAGTAAAAATATGTTATACAAAACCAAGGAAATAAAGTGGATACACTTCTTATACATGGTTCGAAAGCTTGTCAAGGTTAGAAAGAGGTTCGGAGGTTCTAAAATCGTAATGCATGCAGTAGAGGGAATCATCCATATGGCTACAGAATAGCCGGCCTCTGGAGTCATGATAACCCGAGCTTCCAATTTTGGGGAAACTGCTGAAGCCAAATGACCTCCACCAATGTTTGGGGAAATTTGAGGAAATTTTGGGGAAATCCCCAAAGTCAAATGACCTTGACCAATGTTAAAGGGGAATTTTGGAGAAATTTTGGGGTTTTTGTACCATTTTCCCGAAATTTCCTCGAAATTTACTATAGCGGCTTCCCCAAAATGTGCCAAATTTTCCCCAAAATTGGCAGCTTTGGAAAGTCTCAAATACTCTTTCATACTCGACCACATAGCTTCAATATTGTTTATGTGCACACCGGTTGATGAGATCACAAGATCCTACTTGTGGATAACAACACGATGCACATAACCAAGCCTATGTAGGAGCCTGTACGCTCTCCAAATATCCGTATAGATTGTAGTACCTGGCTGCATCCAGTGTTACTGGTGCTTTTATTATCCAGTTCGCAATAACTGTCGTAATTTGCCTTATTTAGTAATTATATGTGGGGTTTTCATCACGAACTGACATCAGCTATAATGCCAGAAATTTATTTAGCCATATGGATGAAAGGCTTTTGAGCGTTAAAATCCGAGATCTATTATCTTTTACCTGAATGATTCGTCCACAAATTATAGTCTTGCCGTTTTATTTCTTATGGCCGCTCACTTATCACGATTTGTACAAAATTGCCTGTGAACCGATCGTACGTTAGCATTAAGCACTGAGGTTGGCGTCGTAACCTTGGAATCTCTAAAACGCCTCTGATTGGCTCGCCCGTAAATTAGAGTCTCGCCATAATTATCCCTTCAAACTCATCTTATAAATTTAACTTCAAACAACCAGTTAACAGAAGTTAATCTGACATAATAGGTGTGGTCAAAAATACATCAATGTGAAAATGGTCATTGTATCGCTTTTCTATTTATATGACCTACTTTTTCATCTGTCCTTAATTATTCAAATATTACTTTAGGTTTAAATGTATTTAAAAGTTCAGAAATTATATAATCTATTCCAAGTCAATGTAATCTGCTTCAAGTGATTTTCTCAATTATCGGAAATCATTATTATTATTATTATTATCATTATTATTATAAGCTTTGTTCAACATTATGTTTTTGGTACAACATAGAATTCTCAGCATAAAGTATTTCAACAAGTTTCCTTTCCTTTTACCTTGATCGATTGTGACGATAAATTTTGAATGATGACCAGTTAGATGTTAGGAATTCGGTAATCCACATTTGATTATTGTTCATTCGTTTCAATGCATATTGCCGGCCACCATGATGTCGCTGATCGTACCTTTTTGTATCTCGTATAGCGAAAGGTTGTAAACTTTTCATAAACGCGCCTGAATAGATTGTGTGCACAACCAAACAGATAACTTGATGAAATATCTAGATCGGAGGAACAGGTAGCCCAGATATTCAAGCAGGCCGCCTTTATGATTAAAGTTGAATAGAATTATGACTTAAAATAAATTACATCTTACTAAATATACATTTAAGTCGAAGTATATTTCTTGTAGTAGATCATGTTAAAAAGATGAAGTGCTCGTTGACAAACAATACCTATCAGTTACGGAAAAGTATACTGGTTGACTGGCATTAATATATATATCATGCATCGAACCCTACTTGCTTAAATGTATAATTTTATGAGTTCGTTCTTCATACTTCGTAACCTAAATATTAGCAACTAATGTTATTTCGACTAACTGACAAACTCATAGGTCAATGAAAAACCCCTTTATAACAAAACATTCTCTATTCATAGTTTACTTATGTTTTGCATCTGCTCAGATTATCTTAATCTCCATCTTATAGGCAATGAACTAAAAATACCTTAAAGTTATTTAACGAATATCAATACATTTTAAATTGTTACACTGGTATACCACAATTGATTGATCACTGGGTGGTGATCAATGTCATGCTTGTCTAGTCCTTATTAGTGCAGATCGAATGCTATCGATCATGTTGCAATGTGGCCAACAGTGTAGGTGACTCGACACTGCGGGCACTATGTATTGAGATTTAGATGGTGGTTGGAGGTAGTCAACAGGAAAGCCTGGACTCGGGTTTCGTGCTACTTGGCACTCGTCAGCAAGGTGTACCTGTAATCTTCAGGGAACTGATGCTCCCTGGCGGATTCGATCTCGTGTCACCCAGCTTCACAGTCAGAGACGTTACCACTGAGCTATCCGAGCCGTGACTAACCTCCTGTAGGACTGAGATGTAATCACAATTGATTGGCCACATTGCAACATGATCGATAGCATTCGATCTGCACTAATAAGGACTTGACACACATGACATTGATCACCACCCAGTGATCAATAAATTGTGATTACACCTCAGTCGTACAGGAGGTCAGTCGCGGCTCGGATAGCTCAATGGTAACGTCTCTGACTATGAAGCTGGGTGACACGAGATCGAGTCCGCCAGGGAGCATCAGTTCCCTCAAGATTACAGGTACACCTTGCTGACGAGTGCCAAGTAGCACGAAACCCGGGTCCAGGCTTTCCTGTTGACTACACCCAACCACCATCTACCCTCAATTTGTGCTTTATTTTTGAAAACGTTACAAGCCATTTAATGAAAATAAGTTTCGAGTGAATTGGA